CCGGTGTCCCTGTTCCTTAGGGCCCCGTCCTGCCCACACCTCCCAGAAGCTGAGCAGGAAAGAATGGGAAAGGAGGTCCAGGGAAAGCCCCAGAGCTGTGGCTGCTGACAGATGTGACAAAGGCCCCAGAACCTGAGTGCCAAGAGTGGCGCAAAAGCTGTGTCCGACTGTCTGTCTGCCAAGCAGCACACGTTCCCATGGGAGCCGCTCACAGGGCGCAGACAGCTGTGCTCCAAGCAGATGTCCTTGCGGGACGAAGGCCGGACAGCCTGGCCCTGTCCCATGACTCACTGGGCGTCCTCATTGCCCGGCCCCAGCTGAGGGCAGGTCTGGAGCCCATGTGGGGGGTGTGTTTGGTCTCTGCTTCCACTGAGCGCCCACAGTTCAGCAGATGACTTGGAGAGCCGGGCTCTGGAGGTAGACATGGGAGTCACCTGAGAAACAGACACCGGAGCAAAGGCGCCATGGGGGCGTCAGGGCTGTGACTGCGACACCTCAGGGAGCCATGGGGCTGCAAGGCATTGGTGCTAAAGCTGCCAGAGGCCCTCAGGGTCGTCACCCTCTGGAGAAGGTCCTGCCAGCTCTCCCATTTTGGGTCCTGGACACGCATGCCACCCAGAAACTGAGTCCAATGGTCACCCGTCCTTCTCCAGGGGCTTCACCCCCAAAGTTCTTGGGGAGCAACCCTAGCCCTGCAGCCCCTGTAGGACCCTGTTCCCTGCAGCCTAAGGCAGACAGGAAACCAAGGACGCAGACACAGTGGCAGCTGGAGCCAGGCCCGGGGGTCCCGGGAAGGAGCAACTCTGAAGCAGGCACATCTCCCAGCTCTGCTCACAGGCTGGGCATCCCACAGCCCCCTGCAGCCCAGCCAGCCCTGGCCCCCGGGTTTTCTGAGCGCCTCCCTCACCTCGCTGATTGCCTGAGCTCAGCCTGCTCTGCCTGAGAAACACATTTGGATCTGATGAGGCAAGAGGTGCTGAAGTTAGAAATATTTGCCTGGTTCAGTCATGTGGATGAGCATATGGTGCATGCATTTCACCTCCGTGAGCGCTCCAGAAACTGTCTAACTCAGGAAGTATCTAATTCTATAGAGGCCGCGCGAGACCTTTAATCATCCCCATCAAATAATTTAAAACATGATTTTTAAAGACAACAGCACTTGTTCAGTCAGCCTGGACTCGGTCCTCAGGATTTGCTTTGCTGTTTCCGTAGCAGAACCACCTGGTCCTCCAAATTCACCTCCCACACATTGTCCCCTTTGCCCTGCCATCCCTCACTGAGGGGAGAAGGTCAGGGCACTCCCAGATGTCCTCACCTGTGTGCCCCACCCAGGGGCTAAGGGTCTTTCTGAGACAATGGCACCCAGGCTTGGTGCTTTGGGACCAGGGCAACCGGGTCACCTGGCCCAGTGCAGGCTGCAAGTTCCCCTGGGAAAGCGGGCCCTTGGCATTTCAACTCCTTCAATGGGGAGAGAGGCCAGGCAGCAAACTCCTGCTGGCGCGTATCAGCGCCACACAGCCTCTCTGGCCTACACCACCTCTGTGAAGACCACCAATCAATCGCTTGGCAGGAAATTCCAGACCCAACTCAGCGCCGAGCTGGGGCTTCCTCCCTCAGAGATTTCTCCACAAGGCAAAGCAGGAGACCCCTGAACCACAGACAGCAGACAGCTGGGGGGAAGGACCCCTCCCTGCCAAGGCCAGGCTGGGCCACCAGGGACCCTGCTGGGCAATCCACGTGGGCCAGGTTTGTTGTGTGATGTCGCACATCAGATTCAGAGACTCTTCAGACAGTTTTTCAAATAATTTATGAACTTTGGGCACTTCTCTGCCTGTGTGAAGCCCCCTGCCAGCCCTCCTTAGCATCTGCTAAGCCAGGTCTTTCTTGCTGCTGTTTCCTGAGCATTCTCGGTTTAGAAGCTGACCAGGGAGTGGTGAGTGGCCATAGCTCTCAGGGTAGACATGCAGAGCACACGGAGTCCGGCTCCCTGAGCTGACTGGCGGCCCCAGGACCTGGCCAGCCCATCCCTTGATCCCTTCTGTGAGGGCCCAGCTTCCCAGGCGGAAGTTGGGATTCTGAGCCCCTTCCTCAGGGTTGGCCTCAGTGCCTGCGCCTCACCTGCCTGCTGACAGCCAGATGGGGAGCAGTGTGGAGGACCTGTCTTCTCTTTCTCTGAATCAGGAGGCCATCTGGAACAGGTGTGAGCAGCGCCTCTTGGAAAGGGATCGGCGGCAGCTGCTGGTCAGGTGGGGGAGTCCTGTGGCCAGGACTCCTGGCACCGTGAGGATACCCTGCTGGCATTGCTGCCCTTCCCAGGCCTCTCCTAAGGCCAGGCTGGTAGGTGCAGACGTCAAGGAGACTTGGCCAGGCCTCTGTCCCCAGAGGCCCTACACCACCCAACGGTCCAGGAGAGAGCGCGGCCCTGCCCCCACCGCCTGCAAGTGTGGATGTTCAGTGCCCTTCCCTTCCAGTCTGCCTCAGCTGCTTCCTGCTGCCTGCGTCAGCTCCACCCCTCCTCCGCCCCATCCAGGAGGCAAGGGCGGCCTTTTCCCAATTACAGGTGCTGAAACCCATAGCCCTGCGCAGAGATGGGTCCTGGCCAGGCTCCCGTGGCAATTTCCCTGCCTGGCTTCCTCGAGAACTGCTCATCGACTGTTCGTGTCCTCGTTGGGAAGTTATGCAGCTGGAAGGAGCCCCAGGATGAAATAATTGCAGAGAAAACAGATGGGCAGCCCGGCAGCCCTCCCTCCTCTGCAGGCCGAAGAACCCGCCGCTGCCTCCCAGAGCCAGGAGAGGGCGCTGTTGCCATCACCGCTGGATGGGGCTGGGCCCTCTCCTGCCTCCCATTAGCCTGGCACACTTCCCTCTCCAGGAAGCACATCCAGCTTGCCCAGGCTGGGAAAGGAGCCTCTTGGGGTGGCGCTTTGGTCGCTGGGGCTCTTCAGTGGGTTCCGAGGGGGCTGAAGGGATGCTCCCAGCTACAAGTGGATGTGTGAGGAGGGAAGGCAGGCTTCACTACGGAACTGCCAGGCCCCTGAGGCTCAGTGGCCTTTCTCCCTCCTTAGCCATCAGGGAAAGTTTTAACACTGAGCAGTCTGGACAGTGTCCTGAATGCTCATCTCAGCTGCCCAGTGTCAACTGATCCCACCAGGCACGCTGGGGGCAGGGCTAGAAGGAGCAGATTTCCTGAGGGAAAAGAGACAAAGGTCACAAAACCAGGCTGGCAGGAGCTCTCTCTCCCTCTAGATCCCTGCAGCCCAGTGCTGGACCTATTCAGTGAGGCTGCACACAGCCCACCAGGGAAGCCTCATACTGCACCTAACACTTCCAGGACCTTCTCTGCCCCAAATTGGCACATCCCTGTAATCAGCACTCAGGAGGCTGAGGCAGGAGGATCACCACAAGTTTGAGGCCAGCATAGGTACATAGTGAGTTGAAGGCCATTCTGGATTTCATAGTGAGACCCTGTCTCAAAAAAAAAAAAAAAAAAAGAAAGGAATCATCACCAAGTGTGTCTAGGGACCCAAAGAAAGGAAGGACCAGCCAGCACACGTTCAGAAGAGGTAGCCATGAACACTGGAAGCTCCTAACCTTCGCTTCTTAGGGGGCTTTTAGAGGACGTCTCTCCTGTACCCTGGACACCACCCCAGTGCCTAACTAGAGTCAGTGTGCCTGGCTCTTAAAACAGATAAAGATAAAGCAGGTCCCAGGGAAGTTTGGACGGCACCATCCCTCTGTCCAGTAGGCAAAAAGGAGCTGGAACTCCCACAGCGGGCAGTTCTTCCTTCTTCCTTCTTGTTTCTCCCCCTTTCCCCTCAAGTGAACGAGTCACATCGCTCCACTCCACGGCGTCACCGTGAGGAGGAAAGGCAGCCCCTGGTGCTGCCCTGAGATGTGGGTCTACCCGCTGCCAGAATGACAAACGAGGGTGTCCTGGAGAGCGCTGGGGTGCTCGTGCAGAAGGCAAGCCCACGCCGCCCGTGACTTGGAGTCCACGTGCAGATCCCAGAGCAGTCGTGACCGGTCGCCCTTCAGGTTGGCCATCTGCTGTCCCAAACCCAGAGCTCTGCGTGAAAGGACCCCGGAGCTTTCCTTCCAGGTATCCTACTGGGGCGCAAGAGCGCAAAGGAGGAGGCGTGGGACGGAGGGAAGACGGAGGCCCTGGCTTCTTCCTGTGCGCCAGGTTCCTGAAGACCCCAGCTCCCCAGAAAACGCCCACCCCGCCCCGCCTCCCTCCGGGCCTCTGCATCCCTGGGAGCTGCCACCACAATGCGGCCTCAGCCAGCTTCCTTCCCTCCCGACCGCCAGCCTGCGCAGCGGCAACGAGCCACAGATCCCTGCACCTCCCTCCCCGGCTGTCCACGGAGTCGGAAGGGAAGGACGTCGAGAGCGTGGCCCTCGACTGCCCAGGTCCCCGGGCAGGACCGGACCAGGGCCCGTCCGGCACAGACGCTCTCTGCGCGTGGAAGGCTCGCGCCCCTCCGCCGCAAGCCTGGCTCCCCGCGGCTCCCCGCGCCTCCCCGCGGGCCCGGCCGGGGCTCGGCCCCGCCGGCCTAACGGCCCCGAAGGAGTCTGCTCCCGCCCTGCTGAGCCGGCAAACGCAGGGGCGCCCGGGAAGTTTGGCGACTCCGTGAGTCTCCGTGATTCCGAGCAGCGCCCGCGCTCCCACTGGGACTTGGCTGCCTCAGGTCCCCGAAGCAGTCTTTGCACCTGCAGCGAGGGGGCCGCTCCTGCCGGGCAGGGCGCGCGTGGGAGGCTCCCTCGGGGCCACGGCGCGCTGCGCCTCGGGGTTTGCAAGCGCTCGCCGCGGTGCGGCTCCGAGCGCGGCCCCAGCGAGCCTGCTGCGCCGCGGGACCCTCCGGGCTGGGACGTGGGTAGGGGCCCGGGAGCCCCCGCGGCCTCCTCCCGGCCCTCGGCTCGGCCGCGTGCGCGATGCCATTGGCCCCGGCCGCCGGGTGGGCGGGGCGATGACGTCAGCGGCAGGTTGTATTATAAAGGCGCGAGGGCAGCGGCGGGATCAGAGCGCACCCAGCTGGCGTCGCGTAGCAGTGGGTTTCGCGCTCGCTTGCAGCCTCACCGTGTCCGCCGGCCCTAGCGGCACCATGCACCTCTCCCAGCTGCTCGCCTGCACCCTGCTTCTCACACTACTCTCGCTCCGGCCCTCCGAAGCCAAGCCCGGGGCGCCACCGAAGGTGGGTGCTGTCGAGAGGACGCTGGGCTGGCGGGGTGGGGGGCTCTGGGTCTGCAAGGCTGCGGAGAGAGTGGGGATGCAGCAGGGTGCCCCGAGAATTGCCCTGGAAGCCCAGACTCTGGGTGTCCCCGGCCTATGCACATGTGCAGCCCCGGTCCACTGTGGCCAGCTCGGCAAGTGGCGAAGGAGTGGAGGCCGGGGGCTCCCCGAAGGAGCGGGCAGCCACGGCAGGTGGATGCGTGCTGAGCAGTCCCGCTCGGGGCTTGCAAGGACGTAGGTGGCAGGGGCATCGGGGACCGCGAGACCACGCGCTGCAGCCGTGGTCCCTTCACCTGCCCGCTCCTCCGATAGGGCCCGCGAAGCCCGCCGGGGGAAGAGGTGGCCGAGCCCCAAGCTGCCGGCGGCGGTCAGAAGAAGGGCGATAAGAGCCCCGGGGGCGGCGGCGCCAACCTCAAGGGCGACCGGTCGCGACTGCTCCGGGACCTGCGCGTGGACACCAAGTCACGGGCGGCATGGGCTCGCCTTCTGCACGAGCACCCCAACGCGCGCAAATACAAAGGAGGCAACAAGAAGGGTTTGTCCAAAGGCTGCTTTGGCCTCAAGCTGGACCGGATCGGCTCCATGAGCGGCCTGGGATGTTAGTGTGGCGCCCCCTGGCGACGGTGAGTACTCCCTTCCCGGCCGCCGGCCGCTGGGCGGAACCGAACCGAACCT